TCCCTGTTTTCTTTTCCACTGGTACCAAAACAGATTAACTCCCTAGTCCTCCATGGTATCTTCCTCTTTCCTATACTTTTCTTCCTCTACCCAGGTACTCCCAGGTTCATCACTGAAGGTGCTCACTCTTACCCACTTCTGTGGGTAAGTACAGCCAGTAATCCAGGGGCTTGGAATCATGTACTCTACTAGGCTTACTGGGCTTACTGAAAAGAAAGGAGCCTTACCCTTTAGTTATTTGTCTTGTGTCTGTGTCAGTCCAGTACCACTTTTAGTGACACCACGGAGGTCCCCTTGACATTTCTATTATCCTTTCCTCCAATTTAACAAACCTTAATGGAGCACCTATTTATTTTTGAGCACTGAGTTGGTACTCAGTAGGGCATTTTTTTATTCATTCATTCGATCAACAAACATGTACTGAGCCCATGGTCAGTGTTGGCGTTGTGCTGGGCATGAGGCTACAGAGATTACACAAAACAGGCATGGCCCTTCTCTAGGCTCATGTTTTGACTGGCCATTTAGCTTAGTCAGGTACAATGAAGACAAAATCACTGGTTTCAAAGTAATAGCTCCCTTAAGGGAGACGCTAATAGGTGAAATTTGGACATGAGGCAATGAAGAGAAAGAGCACTTCAGGAAGTGGGACAAAAGCACGATCTGTGCAAACCCAGCCCTGTCCTGCTGGTTAAGTGCCTACTCTAAGCTGAGAACAAGGAAAAACAAACCCAGCCCTTCCCCAAAGAAGCTTCCTGGCAGCTTCCTGAATTGTTTCTAAGCGATTCAGCTGCACGCCCTCACACCAGTGGGTGAGCACCATACTGAGTGTGAGCTCTGGTTTCAGGCCTGCATGACCTGCTCCACCCGGATCTGACCCTGGCCAACGACTGGTGAGTGGGAAAGTCATGCACATGAGGAAGAGAGGGCAGGACGGAGGAAAGAATTTTTGAAGTAACATTGACTCCCCTGGGTTCCAGGATCTACTGCATCACGGATATCGACCCTGACCACCGGAAGCTCAGCCAGCTGGAGGCCATGCTCCGCTTCCTGACAGGGGAGGACCCAGACCTGGAGTGTGCGTGCTGCCCACCCACTGAGGGCGTTCCTTCTGGGGCCCCGCAGCTCAGGACTTTGCAGGAAGGGTGGGCTAGGGGACGAGGGATGGCTGCCATGTAGCTCCATCCTGGGAACTCACCAGTGCCTAAGGGAGAACAGGGAGATTTCCAAAGACAAAGGTAGAGCCAGCCTCACAATGGGGCCGAGATGGTGACTAAGTGTTCCTAAAACTGAGGCACATGAGCATTTCCCCCTGTCAGGGCCTGGGATGTTTGTAAACCTCTTTCACCAAGCACTGTTAAGGCTCTGCAGGGACACTCACACAGGGCATCAGCCTGCCCATCAGATCTGTCTCAACCACTATCTAGTAGCAGACCCTTGGGCCAGTAACTGACACTCTGCATTTTGAAGGCCTCATCTCTGCAGAGGAGAGTGATTGACCAGACCAGACGGCCTCTTACAGCCTGTGGTCTATGAGCGTTTTCTAATACCTGGTTCAGAGGTTAACCATAAATTCCCCTCCACTAACACACCTGGTGAAACCATAGGGCCATATTCTCAGCATGATCCTTCTTCTTCTTTGGAAGAAGGAGCAGGTCATTTTCTCACGTAAGTGTCACCCCCAAGAGAAAACTCTTACTTGACATGGACAAATCTGTACTGAGCATGTACTCTGTGCCAGACCTGGGGCAGGCACTGAAGCTGCAGAGATGACCCAAACAGACTAGGCCCTTGCTCTCATGCAACTTGTAATCTAGTGGAGAAAACACAAGATAAAGAAGCAAACATATGTGTGCAGATGTAGATTATCACAAATTGTGGTTAGTGCTGTGAATAGAGCTACAGGGCTGTATAGGGGGAAAAAATGGGGCCTGCTTTAAATGGATGGTCAGGAAAGGGCATCTCTGGCAGGCAGTGTCACCACCCAAGTGGCTTCATAGGTATGGGATCTCCCTTGGTGGTAATGAAAATGTTGTGGAACTAGACAGAAGTAATAGCCACCTATCATTGTGAATATACAAAATGCCACTGAATTGTATACTTGAAATTTGTTTATTTTATGTTATGTGAATTTCACCCCAGTAAAAATAAAAAGTTATTTTAAAGAGAAAGGAGGAAAAGAAAGAGCCACCCATGTAAACAGTGGGGAAAAGAGCATTCAGACTGAGGGAACAGCATAGGTGGAGATTCTGAGGCAAGTTCAAATTCACAGAACTGGGAAAAGGCCAACGTGTTGTGAGGGTGATGATCAAGGAGCAGAGCAATGAGACTTGAGAGCGAGAGGCAAGCTGGGCACAGATGGAAGTCTGATATCCCTGAAGTATTCTCCTAATTTCATAGAACACTAGAACTGGAAGGAGCCTTAGAAGTCATTTAGTTCTACTCACATGTTGTTTGGGGTTGAGGAAATAAATGCTGGAAGAGGTGAGGTGACTTCCTCAAGCTCATGTAGGTGGTTTTACAGGTTTCATACACGTTTATGAGGTATATCTTGTTCCTTGTTCCTTAGGAGGGGAGATAAGCTGTGTTCATAATCATAGGAGAAATAAGTGGATTGGTCTCCTTTGATTTTGCACCCAGGTGATGAGGAGCTGGTACGAGAAGTACTGTTTGATGCAGTGGTGACCGCCCCCATGGAAGCCTACTGGACAGCACTGGCTCTCAACATCTCTGAGTATGTACCAGGCAGGGCAGGGCTGAGGGCTCCCAGAAGGAAAAAAGGTTTGGGTCCCCGGCATTCCCCTTGGCTCATTTAGGGTCCCTCCCACTAGTTGGCTGGCAACTCAGGAGACCACCCACATCTTTTGGACTAATATGAATGGTGACAAGAGTGGGAAGAAATGGGAGGAGCGAGAATGACCTTCATACAGCCCCAATTAAAGCAGGGGCTTGGCAAACCTTCCACACACAGCACATGCTGCTGCCCTCTCTCTCCTCTGAAAAAATACCCGAGCAGATCCCTTGATCACAGGTCCAAATCCACCCCCCCCACACACTGCAGAAGTCACATCCCAAGAAGCCCTCTATTGGGGGTTGGGCTCTAGCTATAAGAACCCACTAGCCAAAGAGCCTTGGAGAGAGCATTTAAGCAGACCAGTGTCTTGTTTCCAGCAGGTAAGGTCAAGACACCGTGAAGCACAAATCTGACCTCAATATGTTCCAGTGCCTTAGATTTCCTTATATCCTTTGCTGATCTTTACCTGGTGCTATGGTGTTTAGTGGACAGGAAGAAAGAAGAAATGAATAGCATCTGTGTGTGAGAGAGAGCACACATGCACACACACACACACACTCAAGTGTTGAAAGGGTGTAAGACATTAATGAGGTTAAGAATAAGTGGGACACACTCACTCAACATCACGAAGATGTCAAATCTCTCTTAGACACTCGATAAATTAATCAATGCTATCCTAATGAAAACACTAACAGAATTTTATAGGAACAATCACCAATTTTAAAAAGAAAGGTGTAGAATGTTGTGCATCATGTGCTACTATTTCTATAAAAAGAAGGAAAAATGTAGAAAATGTGTGTATGCATACATATAAAACATCTATGGAAGGCTATATAGAAAACACTTTTTATTAGTTGCTTCTAGTTAGAAAAATGGGTAACTGAAACAGGGATGGAAGGGATACTTTTCACTGTGTAACTTCTTGGTACAAATTTGAACCATGTGAATGTATTATCTAGGTAAAATTAAATAAACTAAAGAACAAAAAAGAATACAGTGGGCCAGACACTATTCTGAGTACTTAGTGTATATTAACCCATGATCCTCACAACCACCCTACTACCATTATAGGTATCATCATTATTCCTACTTCGCAGTGAAGAAACCAAGGCAAAGTGAGATAAGCAAATTGCCCAAAGCCATATGCCTCTCAAGTGGTGGAACTGGACTCAAAACCTGGCAACCTGGTTCTGGGATCTAGACTCTTAGCCCCTGTATTGTCCTGCCTTCTACAGAGGGGGGTCAGGTCACCAGGTTTGGAGAGAAGGGGCACCATCTTCATTTTTTCATGTTCGGAGATTAGCTAGAGATGTTCTTAATGCTGACAAACACTGAGGAGCAAATATTCGTAACAAGGGTGTGTATCAAAAAAGACAACTTGAGGAACTAATATAAATAGCATATTAATAAATCTAAGGAAAAAATCATATAATCATCCCTACAGGTGCAGAAAAGATATTTGAACAAATATTAATATCCATTCATGTTTTCAAAAACCACTCAATAAAATTAAAATTAAAATTGGTTTAAGCCTGAAAGTCAATATCTAAATGAGGCTAGAGGCTCTCAGTAAAGACAGGAACAAAACAGGCAGGCCCAGTGTGCCTACTACTATTTAACAAGGTCAGAGGTATTCATTGGTGCAACCAGATGAGAAAACGTACCTAGAAGCAATGAGAAGTGGAAAGGAAGAAGTAAATGATCTCTGTTTAAGAAGAGAATATGCTTATACACCTAGAAACCCGAAAAGAATTAACAGGAAAACTACTATACACAATAAGAATTTAGTAGGGTAGTAGTTTATGATGTGAACATTTAAAATTAATAACCTTTCTCTATACAAACAAAAAAAGATAAAAGATACGATGTGAGGAGTCCTATTTAGGAGAACAAAATGTAAAATATAATAAAATATCTAAGCATAAACTATAAGAAATGTCCTAAAACTTACATAAAGAAAATTATAAAACACTCTTGAAAGATACAAAAGTAGACTTAAACAAATGGGAAGATAGTCAGTGGTTTTGGATAAGAAGATTCAGAGGAGTTTGGAGAAACATGGAGGAGTGAGAGATGTCCCCAGATCGCTCCCCTTGAAACAACAATAAACTGAACATCTAAAACTCAACAAAAAACACCCAAACTGCACACCAGCACATCTAAGCATGGGATCTGTGCATAAGAACTACCACAAGAATGAGCTGAAGCTTGAAATTCAAGAAGTCAACAGAACAGCCAATTATCTCAACCCAAAAAGGCCTTCACCAAGACACATGGTATTAAAATTATCAAAAATCTATGACAAAGACAAAATTCTCAGAGGAGCCAGGGAAAAGAAGATAGTAACTGATAAAGG